TTGCAGGCATTTTGTAGTTTTGTTAAGGTGTACCGCTGACCAGCAAAATACTGTATCGCGCCCCAAAAACCGTATTTCCGCGGTGTCGCCCAATATCAATGGCTTTTAAGGCCACCTTTGGCATTCCATTTTGATATTTGCTAATGGTGCCTCATATGCATGATCCAGCAAGCATATGAATATGTTAGGTCGAGATCATCGCCTTTTTAAATGTTTTCTGAGCTGAAAATCAATAAAATATTGAAATCAAGTGGGTGGGGACTGGAAAAGAGTGAGTTGCCATGGGAACAGATTTTTTTACTACCGTAGGTGCGCTATCCGTATACATATTTAGCCTACCAAGTTTCAGTGGTCTGTGCTGGAAATTGTCCAAGATAGCTCTATTTATATACTTGATATAATATTGGGTTGACTATATGACGTCATCAGTTATCTCTCATTCTATTCTTTGTGATACACCAAAAAAAATCAAGGGGTAAAAATTTGATCATAGTAGTTTGCTAAATTAAGTTGTAGCTAAAGAAAAGTCACCTCTAAAACTCGCATTTTTCAAGAAACATTCTTATAACCAATTGGCCATGCTCGGTATGAGTGTACAGTCCAGGCCACCAAATAATTTCTATTTCCCGTGTTGCTCGACCTTCCCCATATCTAACTACCAATGATGACTTTGATGATGGTCTGTTGTTTTGTAGCGGGGCATATGCCCTGTCTTTTGTTCTCAAAATTTCTTCTTCAGCAGAAAGTGGGGCAGCTGAAGAATTTGCCTCGCCTTGTTTGTTGCCAGCAAATAAAATTTCAGTATTTAGGTGGATTTTACTTTCTTCCAGTGCCTCAGTAAATGGATCCAAATCATAGGTCTTGTATGAGATCCTTCTTGTTGTCCCTTGGTAACTGGGCTGTGACTTGTGGCTCACGTCCCTAACTGCGTTTACTTAAATGTTGAATCTTCCTATGAAATACTCAAAGTATATTTTGGGCACTTCATGGCTATCAACTTTTATCCATCTCCCTTGGAAAGAAGAAACTGTGTCAGAAACATGTTTTGTGGCGCACAGGTGCCAAATAGTTTGATATCCTATCCTACTGGCCTGCCACATTTAACTGCCTCAGTTGTCCTACCATTCTCATGATTTCAATACATACGTGGGAGAACTTGTTTAAAATTTAAATTAATTGCTAGCAATGATTAATTTTAGTCTTATAAAACTAAATTTTTTGACTCGAACATTCCTTACTTCGTTGCGTCGTAGAATTTGCCCCATTGCGATTTATAAGTTTTAGAAGGAAGTGAGATAAAGATTTGAACTTTTTATCCCCTACAGTGACTTAATAGATATTATTATGCATCAGTCAATTCCAGCAGTGCCCATTCCCCCCCCCCGCCCCCGGTAACCGCGGGGCATTTGCTCACGTTGTCAGTCCCGGGGGTGGGGCATTCGCAATCTTATCGCGGCCCGGGGGCTGGGCATTTGCGCACCCTGGGGCGACCCCCGGGCGTTTGACACGCGTGTTTTCGAAAGTGCCATGGATGAGGTCATCGGGAAAGACGAGGCGTTTAGACAGCTTATGTGTCCCCACCCCGGGGAATTTGCCCATTTAAAAAAAAAAAAAAATGCTAATGCCCGGGCGTTNTTTATTCACTGATTAATAAAAAACTGCAGAGGTGTCGGAAGGCGACGATCCCGGGGATGGGGCATTTACCTTCTTTCTTCGTCCCAACCCTGGGGCATTTAGTAAGCTTATATGTCCCCACCCCGGGGAATTTGCTCCTTTTTTAAAAAAAAATGCTAATGCCTGGGCGTTAGCCCGGGGGGGATGGCCACTGTTGGAATTGACTGACGCATTATGACCAACAACAGACCATTACTCGCAAGTGGGGAACCCAGGCATTGCACATTGCGTGATAGTTTTCAACTTAGTGAACCCTTAAATGTTTTAATTCACCTGGTAAACGAGGATGGAGCGTAGAATTTATTCTTTCCACTAAGCCTCCAATCCATAGTCGATAACCTTGATATTTCGGGTCAAGGTTCCCTCGTGGCCTTGGTAGTGTCGAGACATTTCCATCACCATCTTTAAAAGCTAGATTCAGGGGATATTCTTCTCCTTGGTGGCGTTCTCGCACGTGTTTGGCTGAAGAATACAAGGTTTTGAAACTTCTCTTGCAGCACGGACATTCCGTCGTGTAGCTCGGCATTATGATACTAACGAATGAATAGCCTAGTCATACACTTGCGCCCCGGACGTCGTGAATTGCAAATGTGAAGGCCTTTATTCTCGCTGGCATCGTCACCGGAAGTAGAACCCGTGAAATTTCCCCCACCCTACCCCAACTGGCTTCGGAGCATTAAAAGCAAGGGAGGTTGCAACGGCAATATGAGCGAAAAATGTATACTATGAAAATAATTTCAATACTTGTAAAGACTTGCTGTTGTCAGTCGGCTATTGTAGCTGCTGAGGGAAGAAAAATATAAAAGGCGAATTGCGCATCCCAAGGGTGTCCCAGTGAGAATTAATTGTCTCACGCAACGCAACGCAACGCACCAAAGTGACAGCGTTGCTATTGTGGGTTAGTGTTCTACGTGATGTCGGAAAAGCCGCAGTTTTCAACGAAAGACGAGAGGTACCGATCTCGTCGACATTCGAAAGAGGAGAAGAAGAGACAAAAGCGGGAGTGGAAGAAACGGGTTCGGGAGGAGCGAAAAAGGAAAAAGCGCGAAGCAAAGAGAGGAACATTAACCGTCATTGACATGCCCGATGTGCGGCAGAACCAGATTGACGGAACCGGCAATGATGATCTGGAGTGCGGGGGTTTCCTAAATACGAAGTTAAGAGTCACTGACTGAAAATATCGAGAATGGCTGGCCAGGTTGGAAAAATCCCAAATCCTGAAACTTTGCCTA